CTTCTCTCCCGCCCCGTCCGTCTGCCTGGGCACATGTTCTCTGGATGCACGAGCCGGGCCCCTGACCCTGCCGGCTCCCTCGTCTGGAGAGGCTGGGTGACCTGCTAGTCTTCCCAGAGCTTCCCCGGCTCCCGCTGTCACCGTCCGGAAGGAGCAGGAGCGTAGCCCGCCGGCCATAGTTTTCCCGAAGCAGAACTGCCAAGTGCTGCCCTGGCCGGTGTTGTTCAGTGGCTAGCGCGTCGGCCTGCGGACCGAAAGGTCCCAGGTTCGATTCCTGCTCAAGGGCACATGCCTGGGTTGCGGGCTCGATCCCCAGTGCGGGGTGTGCAGAAGGCAGCCAGTCAATGATTCTCATCATTGATGTTTCTCTCTCCCTCTCCCTTCCTCTCTGAAATCAGTAAAGAAATATATTTAATAAATTTTTTTTAAAAGCTGCCAGGTGCTGGGCCAGTTTGGCCTGCCGTCCTCATCCCGGCGGGAGAAGGTGCCAGGCAGTGCAGGGGCTTTGAAATGACATGACGTGGCACTGGGCGGTGAGCGCCATAGACGGCAAATGCCAGTTAATCCGAGCACACGAGCCGGAAACCCAGACTCCGCTGCCCACAAACGGTAAAGCCAGGCCCTTGGCCTGCCCGTCCCCCCAGGAGGCCCAGGGGTATGAGGAAGGACGATCCTTGCTCCTGCGCCCAAGGCCAGGCCGGAACCAGGGTGGACAGGCACTCGGGTCGGACAGGGCTGGCGCTTTAATGCCCAAGGTGTGTAGGAGTATGTGTGCCCGAGCGCCACAGCTGGCGGCTGCCAGGGCTCTGTCCCCAAGCCTGGGAGGGGAGGCCCCGGAGACGGGGCTGATGCTGAGGGGTCCCGGCGGACCCCGGACAGCAGGAGGCGGTGGTGGAGGGCGGGACAGGGTGTCTGCAGGACTTGGAGAGACGTGGGTTGGGGAGCGGAGGAGAAAGCCCCCACCCTGTATTGCCCGAGGCTCCAGGTGTTAAAAAATATATATTTTTTAATGCAGCAACACTGCTCATCTGCCCTTGAGATGACCCCCCCGGCCCTGCCCAGTGAGGTGGGAGGGAGAAGTGGAAAACGGTCCCCACAGGGGCACATGTCTGAGTTCTCTGCAGCCCAGGCTGGTTGGGGTGTCAGAGAAACTGATTTCTTTTTTTAATGTTTTTATTCATTTCAGAGAGCGGGAGAGAGAGAGAAACATCAGTGATGAGAGAGAAGCATTGCTCAGCTGCCTCCTGCACGCCCCCTCCTGGGCTTCAAGCCCACAACCCAGGCTCGTGCCCTGACTGAGACTCCAGCCCTGACCTCCTGGTTCGTAGGTCAGTGCTCAGGCACAGAGCCACACCAGCTGGGTGAGAAACCCATTTTTCAACAATGTGTTGATTGGGTTTGCTGCTTATCTAGAGACTGTGTGTTCATAGTGGCTATTTCAAGTTTACAAACAAGCCTAAACGAGGAAGTAGCCACATGGCACCCGACCACTTGCCCTGCATAACCTCATGCCACACCAGCGGCGTCTTCCCGCCCGCATCTCCGCCCCGCAGTCCAAGTGCACAGAATCAGGGCACAGCCCCTTCGTTTTAATGTCAGGGATTCTTGTTGCCTTTTTCTCTTTTTGTGGAGGCTCCCTTTTCCTCTCCCCTGTGCTCCCCACAACTCCTAATAACCTTCCATAATTGCTGTGCATTTCCCCAAGGGACAAGAGTGGAGAGAAACAGGGCGGGGGGTGGGGGCGGTCCCGGTAGCAGGACCGTCCCAGTTAGGGAGGTTGGCAATGAGTTAGGGCAGTGGTCAGCAAACCGCGGCTCTTTGGCCCCTTGACTGTGGCTCTTCCACAAAATACCACGTGCGGGCGCGCACGTACA